AGATAATTGAATTTCGAATTAAGGAGAACTTAAATAATAGAAACAGCATACATTTAGCAAGATCTTCATAAGTGGTGACCCATTGAGGTGACAAGTGATCTCAGGCTTGATCAGAGACCACCAGTGAATCATCTTTAAGGTAGACCAAACGTCACACTTCAATTAAAGAACCTTGTCTGGCTCCGCCGGGAATTCCAGACCCAGATCAACTGACGCATCAAGACAAATTGATAAAGTTAGCGACGTTGCAAAACACTGCTTCAGCTATTTTATCATCGAATCTATTATTAAAAATATCCTTAACACAACCATTTATAACGACAATGAATGAATCAAATCCAAAACAGTAAAAACACTCTAAATAAAAACATGTGGTTTTATTTTCAACTTATCAAAGTTGTTATTAAAAGAAATAAATGTTCACGTCGTCTCTACGTCTTCCAATTAACGCAGATAATTTTTATTTTGCACAAAAGTTCTCGTTCTAATTATCACATCGAACAATTATCATCGACAAATGATTTATTTCGAGTTAAGAAATTATTATTCGTTTATGTTTACGACGATTTCTTTCGTTAGCGATGCTATTAAGCATCCTCTAATTCAACAATAAAAATAACTAACAGTTGTATCCGGATACCTAGTCATTGTCGTAGCAGGAATGCGCATAAAATTGCAAGTTCATCGAAGAATTTCGCTACGACCTCGAGTGCAACAGGCTGCTGATGGACACGTCCGCCGACGTCCGGAGGCAATCGTCTGCGCCGAAGAAGCTCGCGGTTCGCACGCGGAAAAAGAAGTCGGTCAGAGATCTCGTTTCCCTCGCAAGAGGAACACCTGAGAATTCCGCGCGAACCGCATTCGGTGTTCGCGCGTAAGCGTATCGGAATTCTCCGCGTGAATCAGAAATCACGGGCGGCGCCTACGCGCGCGGCGCGGCGTTGTTTTCGCCGCGAGGGCCACACGAATTTCGTGTATTTGAACGGCGGCCGATGTTTACGACAGCCGGCTACGCCGTTCGCTTTTGTTAGGGTCAGCACTCGTTCTGAACGGAACACACGCCTCCACTATCGATTCTCGGTCGTCGTAAAACGCCACCAAGAATTCCACGGCGGCCGCCGTCTAAGAATCCCGCTGTTTGTTTAGTTGGAACGCAAATAGGGATCCGGCGGCGCCGAAATCGGCCGGGACCGTGGCCTATCGGGAATAAATCGTCGAGTCGGATAGGGCATGGCGAGTAACCGCTTACGAAATCCTTCGGACAATTTATTACTTGCTAAATGAAGCTACGACAACAAACTCTGCGCGGAAAACTGCGATGATCCGAGTCTGGGCGAATTTCGACCTAATGTCTTCATGTTCCATTGAATCATTCATGTTCGACTTGAATTGAACACGTTTAGACTTGAATGGATTTTACAAATTATGTAAATAACGACAGTGATATTAACATATAACGCTAATGATTAGCCAAGTGTAACTTAGATCTGGCGTCGTCAAATTTGACGTCCTCAAAATAATTGTCAATTTAAGGTGTTATAAAGTTCAGAACAGAACAGATCCAATCTTGAGTGGACTTGATAAATATAATTAAAGTGCAGTAATTAATGTGCAACGACGAGAAATAACGGACGATCGCTGTCGTAACTGACTCACGACTAACCCAGACCTAATTCAGGCCTAAGTCGGATCTAATATCTTCGAGTTTAACGTCCTCGAAATAATTATCACTTTGAAATGCTATGAAATTCAGAACGTAACAGATCCGATTTCGATTGTATTAATATAAATAAGGGTCGTTAATTAACGTGTAACGAAAAGGATTGAGAGACGATCGCTGCCATAATTGGCACACGACACGTTCGTCGGGACACGGACCCCATAATCCTCGTTCGTGGTCCAATTTGACGGACGATACGTACGGCATAAAGGGAGCATATCGACGTCATAAATACCGCTGAAAGGATAATCCTTGCATTGTCGGCGGAACGTGGTGGCGCAGCGTAACGGCAGCTTAGCGAAAATCCGCACGGGATGGTCCGGGTTTCAGCAAGTACGTACACCGTGGAAATGATTGTTCGGCACGTACGGGGCTCGTGGCCGTAGCCATGTTTGGCTGCAGGTCGTTACGGTCGGAAATATAGCGGCGGCTTGCGGTCGTAAAATCGACCTACACGTGTTTCCGAAAGTTTGAGAGCTAGTTGCAAATGTGGCTGACAGCCCGAGCTTTCGGTTTGTAACATCTGGCTATCGACAGCCTGGAGTCGGCCTGTAAAGGTCGAAGGAGATCAAGCTTGTGGATCTGTATACAACTTGGAGAGGCAGTTCGCACCTTCTGAAGCAGCATTTTTGTCCTATTGTTGCGGACGCTGCGAAGAGATCCAAATCTTCGGGATTATCAGTAGCGATAGGATCAATTATTATCGATAATACTTATGATAATTGTTGGTATATACAACGATACTCACACACATACACACAGACATGTCTACAGGGGCAATAAATAAAGGTACAACCCCGAGCTTCATAAATGCAGGTACAAGCCCGACCTTCTGAAGGAATAGTATAAAGGGACTGCACGTTCCAGTGCGAGAAACTACTTCCCATAGAACTACGGAGGCGATCGTCAGCCTAGAAGACGATCAGTCAGACAGTATCTCCGCGACTTCACATACAGTCACTCTTCTTCACACAAAGTACATTTTATATCCGCTAGACGCTTTATTAAACACTGTATCGTATTTGTATGGTATTATTAGTGAATAAACAATTAGCAAATTCCAACAATAATACTTATAGATTGTATACTTACGAATTCGCGTCAATTTCATAACAAAGTTTCGTTTCATGGGATTCGATTACTGATCGTAAATACTAAAGATTGATTATAGTGACCCACAAAAGTGTTCGTGCACCTTTTCAAACGCAATAACTCTTTCAAAACTGAGCTAAACGACTTGAATTTTTTTTAGATAATGGATGAACTTGTCTACTAGATGACGGCTACAAAGCTTTCTTTTTAATTTTGCTATTACTCGGAATGAAAAAACAATATTAATATTAATAAAATTAATATTAATATTAATAAAAACCCTCGTTTTTTAACTTTTTTACCCGAACCTATAACAAAAATTTAATAAAGATTTAGAAAGGTTTAGAAAAGAGATCGACCCTGTCCCGTCTGCGTTCGAGTTTATTTGAAAGTATCACTTTCATTTCTCGAAGTACTTGTAACATACTTCAATGAAATTATTGTTCGAGAGCCATAACGCACTCGACGTTCTCAGAACCGCCTGTGAAATGAAGATACGAAAAGTATTGAATGTGACGATGTTTGATCTTAGGGATCTAATCTGTAGAGACTAACCATAACAGTCAAGAGATAACAGGAGTTCCAAAGTCATTCGTTGCCATAGCCATCTATTACATAGATCCAAATACCTTCTTAATGTCTCATGTAATAAAGACATTTTATATTTAAAAGGTGTCTTTGAAACGCGCGAAAGGAAATAGCGGTGGGAAGGGCCGACATCGACGGTTAAAATTAATTCTGATGCGACACTATTTATTAACGCCACGGACCGCCGCTGCACAAACGCAGCCGACGATCTCGACACGCGCACATGACGCCACGCATCTGCGAACGGGGTGATCTGGTGTCTGGTTTATTTTCGGTGGACGCATCCCCTCGTTCGCCGGCGCATCCGAAGGGTTGATAGCGTTTTATGCGGCACGCGTGGTCCGCGTCTGTCTCCGAGTTAATTATGGACTAATTGTCGAACCCTCTTGTCGCGCCCTGGAGTCTTTACCATATTTTTTTTTATATTGCGCGCGTCCTCTGACGCACAGGACGTCGCTTTTCTCCCTCTTCTTTTCTTCCTGCGCTATTCTTCCGCCCACGTGACGTCGCGCTTAATCCTTTCTCGGAACACGCCCGAAATCATCTTAAACAACCCTCGCCGGATCAACGGTGGATTACGCTCGAGCTGTCGTTGGTAAACAATCGGAGAGCCTCGATAAGATTTATTCAAATATTCTGCATTCGTTATACTTGATAAATATGAAGGTCTCTTTCAGATCACAGCCGTGTGGAATAATCTGTGTCAGCTGTGGAACCTCGTTAATAGACTGTGGATCATTATGCATTTATGACGTGTGCAGATTTTAAAATGGAAGAAAACGTATACGAATTATCAAGATATTATTTTTGTTTTCTTTCTGCAGCGAGTAATCCTTTAATCGACGATGGATATTTTTCTTTGATTCTAATTTGTGCAAAATCACGCGCGAAGATGATATAATTTGCATAAAGATCCACAATTTCGTTTTGCTAAATTGTCTTAATATCTTGTAATAATATAGATGTCGTTAATGAGTTATTCAAGCGACGTGTTTTTTAGTCAGAAAAAGGGGTAGACGAACAATAAGTGTACACCATTATAAAAATAATTAGAGGCAGCGTTATTAACAAAAGATATGCAATAAATTCTTTTTAATTGAAGCTCGGTTTGTACAAAAAAAATGGAAAAGTGGGAAGAGGAGATACGATTATTTTTACCGATGGTCAACAACTACAAAAACGAGTCGCAAGGCTGGAATAATCGTATCTCTACTCCCCAAATTGTTCACTTTTGTGCGCAATCTAAGCGCGAATTAGGGAGAAATGACTGCATTTCAAAAGGTACAAGTAACCAGGCACTACAGTAATGTCTCCCTAATTGCCGCTCAGATTGTCCACAAAGATGGACAATTTGGGAAGAGGAGATACGATTATTCGAGCCTTGCAGCTCGTTTTTATAGTTATTGACAATCGGTAATTACAAAAAACGAGCCGCAAGGCTCGAATAATCGCGTCTCCTCTTCCCCAAATGGTCTATTATAGTGCACAATTTGGACGACAACTAAGGAGACGTTACTGTATTCTGACGATTCGAGTATCTCGCTTGCCGTGGCAAACGACTTTAGATTCGTGTCTAACGACGGTGTTTCTCTGATTGCAGACGACGATCAAGGTGTACGCGAACTGTCTGCGACCAGACATCGAGTACAAAACCCTCGGCATCACCTACGAGACGACCTGTCGCGAGGTTGTTCAGAACCTGCTGAACAAGTACCGAATGAGGCACCGCGATCCGAGGCTGTTCTACCTCACCATGGAGGTCACCGTGAGAAGACCGAACGTGAGGACAGTTCTGCCACTCGACGAGGACGCCAGGCCCGCTGTTCTGCAATCGTGCCATCCTAGAGGCGATTCCAGGTACGATCGAACGTCTACCGTCGCGCATTCTTTTCGCTCCCCTTTCGGTTTCGGTCGGCTTCGTGATGTAATTTCAGGGCTCGCGACCGACCGTAAACGCAACTTCTTGTGGGTCGTCGAGCACGAGCCAACGAGCAACGTCCTTTCCAGTGATTCCCTTTGTTCTTCGCTTCGAGTCGTCTGGGGCGACCACGCGAGACGCCTTTATTTACGCCTGGGGAACCCTCCGCTCAGGATTTCTGCTCAAACTACGTCCACGTAACCTTTGTTTTCCTGGCGAGGTCAAGCTTGTCCGCCTTAACTTAACCCAACAATGGTGTTTCCAACTGGTAGCTGCTGTGACCGGATGCTCTCTGCATTGGGTCTCGTGTTTGATCAAAGTTGCTGAAGTTCTTCAAAATCGGCGCTCTTCATTCTTTCTCAGAAAGAAGTCTCGGCAGGGTTTTTTAAACATTTTTTTATTGCAAATAGAAACGCTTGGATCCATTTGGATCCATTAGGTATCTCAGTAGGATTCTATGAAACATATTGTAGATATTTTACTGTGACGTTAAACTAAAAATTGAGATACCATTTTTAAAGTTAAAGGGTCGAAAGTCTCAGCAAGATTTCATTGCAAACATTGCAGATATTTTCCTGTTATTTTGATGGTCAAAACATCATTTTTAAAAATCAAAGATGGAAAATTCTTGTAGAATTTTAGAGTTTCATGAACTTAATTGGTCAAAAGCAGGATTCTATCGCAAACATCGCAGACATTTTGGTGCAACCTCGACATAATCGACGACAGGGTGAAAACGTAGGGAACGCTAGGCAAATAGCAATCGAGAGCAGCTACAAGTTATCTATTTGCGTAGGACACGTCGATGTCGAAGCTACCGTCACGGGTGCAGAAGGCCCCGAAGTCACCGATGTTTTCTTGGTGGCTCGGGACTTCCGGCGAAGGTATACGTTACGTTGACTGTAGACGGTCGGTGTTTGACTAGAAGCCGGAGCCACGGTGTTTTTACGTGGAAGTAGTGTTCCCCGATTCCCTTTGAGCTGCCGCCGGCGCTCACGATATCCAGGATTCACGGATGTTTTCTTGTGTTGCAGATTCTCGTTGCAGACGCGTCGCGGCGGACTTGTCAAAATATACGACAGCGCGCTCATGTCCGGGGTAAGTCACGCGTTAAGTTCCTTTCAAACATCCTATCCCCCTCGCGAATCTCTCCGCCAACTTTGCAACAGTCTATCGATCTAATTATACCAGCAAGTAGTCGATGCAGTTCAAAATCTTGGGTCATAGTGCACTCTATGCACCCTTCGGTGTTTATTTGCACCTTGCACGTTTAGAATGTGCATAGATAGTACCTTGATGATCTTGAGTCATAGTTGTTGGAAAAGACGATTTGATGGAATGTGTATATTACTTGAAAGATCCTGGATCATAATAGTTCAAGATCATGTTTAAGAACGGTTTAATTGATGTTCCTTCATAGTTGTTGCATAAAATGACTTCAATGTACAAATATTTCACTAGTGTACGTTTGGTGACTATCTGCACCTTGCACATTTAAAATGTGCATATTATTTTAAAGATCTTGGATCATAATAGTTCAAGGTTGTATTTAAGAACAGTTTAATAGATATTCCTTCATATATATAGTTGTTGCATAAAATGACTTCAATGTACAAATAATTCACTAGTGTACGTTTGGTGACTATCTGCACCTTGCACATTTAAAATGTGCATATTATTTTAAAGATCTTGGATCATAATAGTTCAAGGTTGTATTTAAGAACAGTTTAATAGATATTCCTTCATATATATAGTTGTTGCATAAAATGACTTCAATGTACAAATAATTCACTAGTGTACGTTTGGTGACTATCTGCACCTTGCACATTTAAAATGTGCATATTATTTTAAAGATCTTGGATCATAATAGTTCAAGGTTGTATTTAAGAACAGTTTAATAGATATTCCTTCATATATATAGTTGTTGCATAAAATGACTTCAATGTACAAATAATTCACTAGTGTACGTTTGGTGACTATCTGCACCTTGCACATTTAAAATGTGCATATTATTTTAAAGATCTTGGATCATAATAGTTCAAGGTTGTATTTAAGAACAGTTTAATAGATATTCCTTCATATATATAGTTGTTGCATAAAATGACTTCAATGTACAAATAATTCACTAGTGTACGTTTGGTGACTATCTGCACCTTGCACATTTAAAATGTGCATATTATTTTAAAGATCTTGGATCATAATAGTTCAAGGTTGTATTTAAGAACAGTTTAATAGATATTCCTTCATAGTTATTGCACAAAACGACTTTAACATATAAATATTTCACTGGTGTACCTTTGATGCTTATCTGCACCTTGCACATATGTGCATTCTGGTTTGAAGACTCAGCGTCTTCACACTTCACTTCACTTCACATTTGCCTGTCAAGTTTCCAGAAAAGTCCTGAAAGTTTAACTGATCAGAGTCCCTTGATTCCCACTCACACGCCCAAGTGCACGATGCATGGGCAGCGAGATAACAGTTATCGATCTCTTTGCAGTCCAAATACAAGAGTCTGCTGATCTCCGAGCAGACCACCGTGGACGAGCTGATCCAGATGCTGCTGAGCTGCTACAGCTCGAAAGAGCGTGTCGAGCAGTTCTCCCTGTACGAGGTTTGCGAAGGTGAAGAGTACCAAAGGAAACTGCACCCCGACGACTCACCCTTGAAGGTGACGCAGAGATGGACGAGCGTCGACCGTCATCTCCGCATCAGACGCAATCCCGACTACAATCCTCACCGAAGAAAAGTGAGTTACCTCGAGATCCCTGGACGTTCGTCGTAACATAAATTAAGAAGTCATTCGAATCCTTCTCACGCCGCCGCAGACAAAGGCATTCCCCGTATCTTCGGTCCGGAGACGAAACGCAATTACGTGGCGCATCTCGTTGCGGCGCGTCATCCGTCGTCAGCGTTATTCATAAGAATATAATAGAAAGTCAAATTCGTTACGCAATCGTCGTTGTTTGCAGAGCATGTGGGCGTCCGACTCGAGCATCAGCGTGGCCATGTCAAGACTGAACCTGCACGGCAGCCACCAAACTCACTACCACCAGCCGCACGACAACAATAACCATCTGTCCTCTTATCACAAGGAGCCGGCCACTATCAACAACAACAACAACAACATCCACAAAGCGGACAATCATCACCTGTCCCTCGGCTCTCTGAACCAGCAAGCTAGAATCGTCGTTCCGCACGCGTCGCAGATGCCTCAAGTGCAAGTGTCCAGGGTCCAACAACTCGCGCAGAGCATGCCCTCGACGCCGTTGACGTCGAAACACGTCACCGCGTCCTCGTACGCGGACTACGAGAATTATCTGTTCATTTAAACGCTTGGGTAGAGGAACTCGGAGTTAACTGTCTATTGCTACCTGTAGTTGCAGGCTTCAGCACTGGTTGCGAACGTTCTTGAAACGTGCTCTTAAGAGTCTGTTTCGGTTACGTCAACGATATCACGGTTCTTCTGGAACATCGTTTGCAATGTTCCGAATAAATTTTCACGAAGAGAATGATAGAGAATCCACGACGAAACTAGCAAGAGTAACCGGAACAGTTCTCCTCGTGTTCGAAGCGAATGTTCTTCAGCATCGTTTCTCTGCCGGAACGTTCATGAAACAGTTTTAAACAATTACTCGTAGTGTCCGGAGAGGTGTTGAAGCCGTCGAGTTAGGTGTTACCTTCATCGTTGCGTCGACGCGTTGAACAGTATTCGATGGTTCAGTGCTAGGCATGTTCGAAGGAGTCGGGCAACTATGGTTCGAGATTATTTATTAAAGCTGCAGCTTGGCAGAAGGGCTCGCGCGAGCCGGCCGAACCGCGTCGGTTTAACAGAACAAAGAGAATTTACGATCATAGTCAATAGCGAGGAAAATTGTACCAAAGGTAGAACGTACGGAACTTTAGGTTTAGAGTGCATTCAGACGTATATGTGTAAATGTTAGAGAGCTGTTCTAAGAGAGTTGAAATATAATCGGGGATCGTTCGGATCCTCGACGTTGGTCCTTCGAGATCCGCTTGGACGATGCTGCGAAAGTAATGGATTCCAAATTGAGAATCGAAAGCGACCTTCATTTCACAATTCTATATGTCGGTGCAATGAAAACGTTAACTACGGGATAACGATCGATGAACGATCGATCACTGATTCGAAGCACTTCAATGCAGTCCCGGAGGATCGGACTGCGTATTTAAGCAAACTGCATTTACTCGAGACGCCGGAAGATACGTTTATTATTTATTTTTAACAACTGTAAAGCGTTTGAGAGGTCCAAGAGCTTCGAAGTTTAAGTTATTAACGCGAATCCTGTGTGTAAAAATTTCGTCGTGCAATCCGATCGGACAGGATTCGAGCTCGTGTACATAGAGATGGAGCATAAGTGACGAGTATTCGAGTGACTTTGGCAATCGACGTCTTCTTAATCACGGAATACGAACGTTAATTGTGTTTGTTGGGCGTCGTTCCATTCACCCTTTCGATAACGAACCTGTTTCTTCCTGTCTTCGTTTGTGTTTCAAGATGGAGCCTGTTATATTTTTTTATGATACACTGTATATAGTCCCTGGAACGTTCTCCGCTTCGTTCGATCGCGTTTTGTTACGGTAAAAGTTGGATCCATTGCCAAAGAATCGGTACGATACGTATGTGAGACCTGTAAGGTTCAACGTTGCGACAAAACGCGAGATTTCTCGATTATTCTTGATGCAATCCGTCGCTCGATCGCCTCGAGATCGAGATCGACATAACCAGCAACTGTAACAAGTACAATGAATCTTGTATTATTGTAATACGACACAGTAGAGTGTAAATATCCTTTTGTATCGTCGTTTATAATTCACAGAAGAAAATATCGTTTCACGTGGCTAAAACCCCGTCTACTTTCTTTCAACCTCATCGTTTATGATACTTACCGATTAGGTTTACAAGTGTACCGATTAATGGAAAAATAAATAGAAGGTGTGCGTCTTCGATAAGATAACGATGCTGTTTGTATTCGATCTTTCTGTCCGGACCGAATTGGAATGAAAATTTCACGATCACGGTTTCGTTCAATTAAGAATATGCTCTGTCGTAATTAGTGGAACTCAACGATTGAGAACCAAGAACATTTATCATTCTAAAAGTGTTGCAAGCATCTACGTCGAATCGTCGTTTTATTAATATCTAGACCGCAGATTTCATGCAATTGTGCTGAAAGTGGATAAGAGAAATGTATTATTTTCAATTGATTAAAACTATTAGATGAAAGAATACATTTTTAGGTGTCTTCTGCTTTATAGTATCGATGCAGAAAATTTCGCATGAAGATCGGCAGTCTAGGGATAAACTTACCGAGCTCTAAAAATATCTAACGCGTTTTGCTTTATAAGGATGACAAGATTAAATTTATTTACACTGTTTGCCGTTTCTATTATAATATAAACATGCATAATCGAATTTATTCAATCGTTTCTTAACGCTTTATCTACCGAAAGCCTATTAATAGGACTTTCAATTATTGTGCTGTATGTACAAAGAAAAATCTTAAAATTTTCTTCTTGATATGACAATCATTATCGAAATAATTAGATAATATTACTTAAAACGTTTTTAACTGTGAATTGTACTCTCAAAAAATATAAAACCATTGCAATCTGTACAAATTCTTGTATACTAATTCTCTAGAGTACTAGCCGGTCTAATATCTAAACAAAAATCGTTATTTAATCAATTTTAAGAAAGTTATTCCGTTTGAGAAGTCAACATACATTCCGACGTACCACATGCACCGTATGCATTAAGACGAAAGACAGCCGAGGGAAAAAGTCGTTAGTCGTGTGACGATAAAAATTTTATTTACAAATGCGACAAATATAGGAATTTTGGGCACCAGTGACGTATCGGAGAGAAACGAGCGGTTACGATTGGTCGATTATCGGATCGCTTTTTCATTTACTTTCAAACACCCCCACGGCTCAGAGTCTTGTCCCGGAATCTCGCGATGCTCCGAGATCATGAAATCACGTTCTCGACGTGTCGCGTCACGTTCTCTCCGTGAGATCACTGATAGAGGAGAGAATCACTGAGATGTAACAATAATAAACTTTACATTAAATACGATTAGAATCTAGCTAGTTTTGTAAGGGCTATGCGGAGTGTTACAGTAATAGAAATATTCGCTTCTCCAAGGAAAAAAGGGGGTTTCTTTTTCTTTCTCATTTAAATCCGGGAATTATTCTTCGGGGAGTGGGGGGGATCGTGTCTGACGGTGGGATGGGGAGGAGGGGCGGGGGACGGGGTCATGGGGAAATATACTTTTTTTCGTTTTTAAGTTTCAAAGGATAACATCACAGCATTGACATATCAACATCGAAACGGATCGGAGCATCGCGCCCGTCGAGAGTCGTCGACTCGACCTAATTAGAAATCCCGAATTTAAGTTCTCCCATGCTCCGATTACTCGCCGACACCGCCGTCGTCGTCGTCGTCGTCGTCGAGGAACTCTCAGGGGGCGCGCTGCCACGGCCGTAGCACTTTTCATTTCTGCTATAGAACAATTTACAACATCTCGTTAATTAATCGCCTCAATTCCGTCTCTCTGCATAACCGTAGCTCGCACACACTGAACCGCGAACTCGCAAACCTGTTTATCCTCTCTCAACAATTTCTCTGGCATTCCGCGCGTCTCCCTTTCTCTCCCTCTCTGTCGCTCGTTGCCAGTCATTCACACAATGCGCTCCATTTCTCCCCGTTCATCCGCAGCACTCGTTTACAATTAGATAAACCGTTAATTCGAATAATGGCGATGCGATACAACATCTCCGTCTTACTTTCTTGCCTGAACAATATACACACGCGCGCATTCTTTGCCGACGCATTCGCACGCTCCATCAATCCTCCGCGCAGTGCAACAACAATCAAATAAAATACGCTCGAAGACAACGAATTGATCGCTCGTTTGTTTCGATCGCGGCCCGGCCTCGATTTATCTCCGCTCGAAGTCGCCGGAGGCCGCCATGTTTCTTTATTTTTTCAAGGCGGGGTTTCCTGTATGCATTCACACCGATTCAACAGATAATAATACTTTCGGTTTCCTAGAAGCGATTTACAAATGTCGCATTCACGTCGACGTTCGACGTTCTGCTTAACTTCAACGTATAGGTATAAAAATGTTCAAAGAATCATCGCCAGTAAGAGTTGAGATAAAATTTACTTGTTGCTTACTGTACCAAAAAAACTACCTATATGTCTCCTCATTGTTTTCTTATTCAGATGCTATAATAACCTTCTTCGTCTCGCTTTTTGTATACATCTTTAATATTCTTTCTTTTTGCTTTCGTCAAAATTTTCGAACACAATTTCATCGTCTTCTTCTTCTTCTTTCAAGAGTAGCGAAGGCGCAGATAAACTTAGATCCATTTCAAAAAGTTAGTTCAGCTTCTTCACGCACACCGTTCTCTCCGATAGACAGTAATATACTGAATAATAACTGCATCGTACGCAAACGATGCGCGAAGCATTGCGTCTGATATCAACAGAAAATATCATCCGCGCGCGGACGTTTAATCGCAATCGGCGAACGTGTACGTCCAGCCGTTTGCATCGGACGCCTACAGGAAATCCCATCTTTGCAATTTCGAACGCAGTTTCGACGAAACCGAATCGGCGAGATTGAAACCAACAGAAAAGCTCGGATCGGTTTGCTACACCCCCGTTTGCGTTAAGCGCGAAACACGGCCCTCCGGCCGTCGCTCGTGCTCCGCGGGGACATCGAGGCCAGCATCGCGAGGGAATAATAATAGACAATATACACAGGGGAAAACCTTTGATCCAACGAACCAGCCGCAAAAAAGGGAAAATAATCATCACCGAGGACATGGTGCGCGCCCGCGATCCCCATTTTCGAAACCCGAACGACTTCCGTTCGCGGGCGGCGGGACTTCGTCCTCGGGGCGACGCCGGTTGATTCGAATCGACGATCGTTCTTTCCTTCAGTTTCTCATCATTGGGACGGCGTGACAAACAGCGACTTGCCGATCGAGACCGTCAATCCTTGCCGACGTCTCGTTCCACCGACGATCGAGATTGCGAAACATCGTACAAACTAATGACCGCGCGTGCTGGATCTCCGAAGAACCGTTCGCCGTTAAATATGAACCGCATGCAATCGTCACTAGCTGCCTAAAGTCACTAACGATCTAAATAATTAGTTCATCCGTTTCGAAACTCGTTAACGTGTTTCTTCCGGTTTGAAAATACACACAACCTGCGATACTTCCACGACGTGATTCACACTTTTGCGATTCTTTCGTTTGAACAGACGGTGCTATTGTTTTTCTTTTTCTTCTTTTTGTAATTCTTACAGGGCAGTGCGGCCGGTTATGAGGGAACTAATCGTTATTAAATTTTACATATTACACTCGTTTATTCTTTTATGTTGTATATTGTTGAATTATCTGAATTAATCTTTTACTTTGTTCGTTTTTAGATTAAAGAAAATTGCCGTACGCTTTATTCGATGAATATAAAGTTAATTACGACCGGAAACATAACCAAAGGCACAGCAATTGGACACCCTACGGTAACCGGATCTCCGCTACCCTGGGCTCGTCAGAGATGATTGCACAAAAAGGTTCTCGTTTAGCACGGTTCGAGTCGAATTGCCGAAGGAATTCGAGGATTTCGGAACAATTTCAATTGTCTGACGTTCCCGGTTTATGGTGGACCTCGTGGAAATTTCGGGTTGCGTACAAGGTGCTCGGACAGGAAAACAGGAAACCGATGAAAACAGCAACGTCTCAATCAGCTGATCAATTCGGACAATGTTCACGATCATCGAGTCAAACCGACAGTGGCGTCCGCGCAATCCTAGCGTCGCTCATTTCTCCTCCGAATTATATATACTTTCAAAACCACATTATACCGCGGCCAACAATATTATTGCGAAAGCCTTAAGGCTCGATACAAGGACAGGCGTTTCGCGATATTCTCTAAGCGTACGGAGACTGTCCGCATCGACGGAAACCGTAAACGACGAAACAGCAATGGGACACGAATATCCGGCACAGTTGCCGACAAAGAAAATCTCAAAACTCGAAACGTTCGAACTCGTAATAAACAACTTCTGATATACATATATTGGGTCCCATTGGCGCTTTAAATGATCAGACTTCGAATTCTCAACAACGTCAATTCGCCGATGCTTCGGTCCCGTTTTGGACCTTCCAACCATATGGGGTTGCGTTCAAAGGAGGGCGTCGGCCGTCGCGACGCCGTAAGCGGCTAATCAACAACGTTCTCACGTGCACACGGTGCAAGCCAACGAATCAACTGCCACGTAATTAAAAGATCAATCCACGCCCCTGTACAATGAACATACGCGCTCGAACACCCTTAAAGGTTCACCCTCGCTTCCGACCTTCTCTCATCTCGCCTCCCTTCTGCTCTAGATCCACGTCGCCTCGCACAGTCTGCGATATCTCGCTTTTAATTTCTCGGTTAGTATTCAGAAAATTCGATTGTGCTCCCGTTTGGACTTTCGGCGTTTCTGACCCGCGCGAACGCGCCCTTCGACGCGTCGCCGTTCTGCGCTTTTAACCCCTGGCGCGACCGAGGTGCAGCAAAATTAATGAAAATGCACGAGATTGGTCAGCACCTTTGGCAGAAGGCGTCAACAATTCGATTAAAACTGGTAGGTTGTTTAATTGAATTAAGTTAGGTATAGAAATTAGGTCCGCAAAATTCGTGACACATTTTTCATAAGTCTCAAAGTACTCCCTAACATGTTTTATATAAACATATTCATCTTGCAAGCAACTGATGAGTTTCTTCACAAAGTCTTTTGTTAAAAAATAATTTCAATAGCATGACAACACTGTGTGGAATGTGCTGAAACATTGTATGATACTTCAGATAACAAAGATCACGACGAACACAGCCAAAAAATTACGAATTAAAATGACGTTAAAATTACGAATTGAAATGACGTTTGATTTATGCGATCGTACATTCCTTGTAAGAACATATATAAAGAACAGAGCTGCGAGAATTTGAACGTTGATTACCCGAATTCTTGTATCGTGAATGCCATTTTTAGTTGCGCGCACAGGGGTTAACGAAGGTTCAAAGTACCCACGTCCCGCCTGTCGATCAGGTAAATCTGTCGAACGAGCCTCTCGAATGATCGAAAATCACTATAACACCATTTCGCGTTTACGGAGTCACTACGGAGCTTCATGTATCCCGAATCGCTCTCGATTTAAGCTACGACTGT